GGGGGTGGGGGGTGGGGGCGCATTTGTCCCACAGCCAGGAGAGGCAAACTTCAGGGAAGACTCATTCTGGGAGAGCTAAATGTCAGGGTCCACGCTTGTGATGGAGAAGTGCCAGAAACGTGCATGCTTGGAGACAGGAGGCGCAGCCTGGGAGTGCAGAGGTCTGCAGAGGAGGAGGGGTAGGAGGCAGCCTAGGTTTAACTCAGCTTCCTAGAGAGTAATTGTCGAGCACATCAAGAAATTCTGGTAAGTCACAACAATCTCCCGTAAAAGCTTGTGCCTGGTGTCTGGAATTGTCTGATGTTGACACCCATGTGAAGGTACGATCTTTCTAACCTCTTAAAGGCAAGCAGGACAGTTAAAATAACAGGGCACAGTCAACAAACACTCTCAAAGGGGCGGCTTTGGACACTGCCTCATGGGTCAAAACAATATTTTTCTGAGATTGGCTCAGGGCCCACCTGGGCCTGCCTGCACCAGCATCACCCAGATGTCTCCTTAGAAACTGCAGATTCCGCCCGGCCGGGCGTGGCTCAGCGGTTGAGCGTCAACCTAGGATCCAGGCAATCGGGGTTCTATTCCCGGTCAGGGCACATGCCCGGGTTGCGGGCTTGATCCCCAATGACACTCTCTCCTTTCCTCTCTCTGAAATCAATGAGGATATCTTTAAAAAAAGAAAAAAAAAGAAAAAGAAAATGCAGATTCCTAGGTGTGGCTCAGAACCATGGAACCAGATTTACAGAGACGGGACTCAGGAATGAGCCATCACCCCCCAAACTGTCAGGTCCCCCGGAGCAGAGAGGTTATCCCTCTAATTTCTCATTGTATTCCCAGGGCTAGTGCTTTGACTGACACAGAGCAAGTACTCGCTAGATCCTGTTGCGTGAATGAATGAGTGTCATGATCGAGGTATCTGTCCCTGGTGGGGAAGGGCTCCGTGAAGGCTGAGGGACAAACTGGCTGAACTGAGCCAGAACCCAAGGACAGCTGGGGAGTGTGCTGTAGCTCTCTCTGGAAGGGATGGAGAAGGGGGGAGATGCAAGGGAAGGGAACGAA